CTAAGAAATAGGATACAATTTGTAGAATTAACAAATATTGATAATTCACAGACATTAACTTCTTATAAATCCAGTGATAGATTAAATTCATTTGGAGTTCCACAAGGTTCCGTATTAGGGCCAATTCTTTTCCTTTTATATATAAATGACTTACCTGACTCAACTTTATACAAATGTATAGTGCCACCAACTTATCTGTTCAGGTGGACAAAATTGGAACTAAGGCCGCCATTTTGTAAATGACATTTCGCTGTCAGTTATTATTTATTCTGAGCTATCAGGTGAGTGTTTTTTAAAAAGTGCAAATAAAATGCCTAAAGCTCTTAAAAGTGATGCGCGACAGATTATCCTAAAAGTTTTATCTTTTATGAAAGAAGAGAAACGTGTACAAGCCCCAATTATACCATTTGAAAAGCTGTATGAACGCGTTACTGCCGCGACAGGTTAGTATTGCCAGATATGGAAAATTAAAATCACCTAATAATGTACTTGTGAAACATAGTAAAAAAAATTCTCAATTTACTGTAATTCGTCTAAATTACCTAGATTTGTAATTTGTGGTCTGTGAAGTAGCTATAGTGACGGCATATACACGGGCTTATATTTATTTAATTTTACCTATACAATAATTATTTGTCGTTTCGTTACAGGTGTTTCTGAGCGATTTGTACACAAACTCGTAAATGAAGAGAAACACGCTGAAGAATCAAATTCTAAAATTTCTACCCCTGGCAAAAAAGGCAAAGAAAAAACCGGGAAACAAGAAGTTGATAATTTCGACATTGGTGTTATAAGAAGAAAAATTCACGAATTTTATTCAGTGAAAAAAGAAATTCCTACCATACCCAAATTACTGAGTATTTTAAAAGAAGATATTGATTTCAAAGCAGAACGTGAAACTCTTCGAAAATTGCTTCACAAAATAGGATTTAGTTATAAGAAAACAAAATCAAATAGAAAAGTGTTGTATGAACGTAACGACGTAGTTGCATGGAGAGCAACCTACCTACAAAAAATTAAAGAAAATGAGTGTGGTGAAAAAAGACCTATTATTTATTTAGACGAAACTTACATACATTCGTCTCACTCAACTGGGAAATGTTGGCAAGGTCCTGAAGAGGATGGCGATTTGGTACCTGTTTCGAAAGGTAATAGGTGGATCATAATCCATGCAGGTGGAGAAAAAAGGTTTTGTGGAAAATGCACTTCTCGTATTTAAATCAAATACAAAGTATGGGGACTACCATGATGAAATGAATAGCACTAATTTCAAAAAATGGGTATATGAAAAATTACTACCTAATCTGCATGAACCTTCTCTCATTGTGATGGATAATGCGCCATACCATAGTATTTGCGTAAATAGGTGTCCTAATTCAAACCACAGTAAGGCTGATATGCAGAAGTGGCTTGTAGAAAACAATGTGGATTTCAATGAACAAATGACAAAACCACAGCTTTATGAGTTAATAAAGAAAAATAAACCTGCTCCGGAATATGAAATTGATAACCTGATGAAAAGTTATGGCCATGTTATTCTTAGATTGCCGCCTTATCATTGCGACTTGAACGCAATTGAAATGATATGGAGCTCTATGAAAAGAAACATAGCAGACAAAAATGTTGGAAAATCTAATGTTCTAATGCCCCAATTAATTGAAGATGCATTCAATAAAATTACACCGGTGCAGTGGAAAAACATTTGTAATCATGTGAAAAAAATTGAAAATGAATACAGACTAAAAGACGCGTATATAGATGAACCCTTTATTATAGAGTGTCAGAGCGATAGCGAAAGCGATTCCAGTGACTCAGAAGATGAATTATTGGAATCAGTAGCTAACGCGGGTACGTCTTTCAAAACAGAAATTCCTGGAGTTCGGCCGCTTGAACTCCGAGACCACGATCACAATTATTTTTATAAAATATAAATAATATATATAATAACACTAATTCTCACTAATTTTAATATATTAACACGAAATTTGTTTTATTTTATATTATGTGTACCTAATGAATATGTAGTCACCTATTTCCTCGGCGAATTTCTTAAATGGCAATAGTAAGCACTCCACTAGCGACTCTGTAAACTGAACAGATAAGTTGGTGGCACTATATTTTATTTGCTGATGATATTTCAGTTATTGTTAAAAAAAGACATTGACATTGACATCTATGAATCTAATATTAATAATACTATTGACAATATTTCAAAGTGGGCGACATATAATAATTTATGCATTAACGTAGAAAAGACATGTTATATTCAATTTAGTAATTATGGAAGTGGAACATTGAATAATAATCTTAATATATATTGCAATGGACAATCTGTTAATGAAATGACTGAAACAAAGTTTCTGGGAATATTATTGGACAAGCATGTGAACTGGAAAGCCCAATTTGAAAAAGTCTGTTCTAAAATAAATAGCTACATTTTTCTTCTTAGCAGACTGAGAAGAATTACATCTCATGAAACATTACTAACGGCGTACTATGCATACATTTATTCTGCACTCGATTATGGTCTTTTGCTTTGGGGTAACAGTACAGATGCTATTAAAGCCTTTACAGCCCAAAAGAAATGTATTCGAGCTATGAATGGTTTGGCACCAGATTCATCATGTAAACCGTATTTCAAAAAATTACACATTTTGACGCTGCCATGTATGTACATACTAAATTTGGTATGTTTTGTTAAAAATAATATACTTTTATTCACAAAGCTAAGAAATACTGCACAGAGAAACTTGAGGCATACTGAAAGATTGACACATAGTGTAATGCCAAGCACTAGCCTCTATAGGAAAAATTGTTCAGCTATGTGTATAAAAATTTTCAATGCACTGCCTATAGAGTTTCAATCACTCCCAAAGGTACGTTTTCGCAGGGTTGTCAAACAATGGTTAGAGGAGCAATGCTTCTACTCTGTTGAAGAATATTTAAATTTTTTGATTAGGATTAGGGATTGATAATGAAATGAATTATGTAACTACTATCATATTATTTTAATTAAATTAAATGTAATAAAATTATTATAATGATTTTGAAAACATGTTATTAATTTATTAGTTGTGAAAATGTAATTAATATTTTAGATAAATATTTGTATGTCAACATTATGACAAAACATGCTGGACTTAAATAATTTACCAACTTGTAATGTACCATGTTTTCTGCAAATAAATTATGATTATGATTCAGCGCCGAGCAGGTGGTAAATCAGCACTTAAAATTGCAATTAACAATTTCGTTGGTGCCTGCGGGTAACGAACCCGGGTTACTTGTGTTCTGTTATATTTACAGCGAGCGTTAACCATCTGAGCTACCACGGCTCAGTAAGTATGTACACCGAAGTAATTTTGAGTCGGCGGCAAGCAATTTAAAGATATAACCAAATCAAATTAATAATGGATTATTTTAATAAAGCAATTAATTAATTTGCTATTTTGTCGCCGACTCAAAATTACTTAGGTAGGTATACTTACTTTAGTTTAAGAACATAGTTTCTAAATTAAGAAAAATATATACTTAGGTACAATTACATCAGTTTAAGAACTTAGTTATTACGGTAAAAGAAAAAGGTTTATTATTTTTTAATTTTTATTTTTTTCGCTGGTTTAATTTTTTTTTGTTAAAAAGCCTTTTTTTACTCTACTGTTACAATAGTTCTACTGCGGATATTGTGAACTATACATAATATAAATAAAATTGATTAATATTGAAATCAATGTCTTCTATCACGCTCAGTAGTTATTTGCATGCTTTTGAGATATCAAAAACTATTTTAAATTTTTGTTTGTCTGTCTGTCTGTGCGGACTAATCTTCGCCCGAACCGATCGTACTGAAAATTAACTAACAGGTTGAGGTAAATGCAAGAAGAAATCTAAGCTATATTTTTTATAAAACTTCTTAAGCTCCACCTGTACGTATATATATAGTATATATATACTTATGTATATCCTATACGTTTAAACGAGCAATTCTTGTGTGTGATCATCCGGGTACTATATGCATATATGTATAGGGTAAGTCCGGGGTAGTTGGCCGTAAGGAAGAGATGGCCACTAAAAAAAATCATAGTTACACTTACTAGATGGCACTACTTTCTCGTTAGTTCAATTTGTGCTGTGCGTGGGAACGACATTTCGCTCCATCTCCGGTGAAAAAAATCGAAAAAGTAAGTAAAATGTACCTACATTTATTTGTATATAGCCTAAAGTTTTCAAAGGGTTTACGTTATACAGTGTGGTGAAAAGACATCATAAAAAGTAAGTGCTTTTTTTTAAGTTAAGTGCTCAGTTAATGACCCACACTTTAACATAACCTCAAAATGGCGCGTGGGTTGTTTATATTTTTCTACAAATAATGTGTGGCCATCTATCCCGGCTGATTAGGAGAAATGACCATAAGGCCATTTCACATCTACCATTTATGTAATGCGTAATGGTGAAAGTTATATTATTATAACTTGATATATTTTTCTTTATTTATGGTGCTATTATACTTATTCGGTTTTAGTATTTCATATCACAATATTTTATTTTTAGATGCCAAATAAATACCAAAGAAAAGCATGTAGCTCACGAGGGAACTGGAGTGAAGAGTCACTTAAGGCGGCCATGGACGCTGTTAAAAAAGGTGAAATGACTATCTACGCAACTTCGATAACCTATCAAGTACCAAGGAAGACCCTCGAAAGGCGATACAAGAAAAATAATGACAAAAAAGGAGCTATGGGACCATCCTCTATATTCGGCGAAAAAAATGAGAAGAAACTCGCTAACCATATTAAAACTATGCAAAAAAATGGTTTCTCATTGACTATTGATGACGTCAGAAAGATGTGTACCAGTTCGCGGAGCAATTGAATTTGAATCACAGATTTAATAGAGAAACTGAGAAAGCAGGATATGACTGGTTGCAAGGTTTTTTACGAAGAAACCACGATATTACATTAAGAAAGTCAGAAGGAGTATCTTTAGCTAGATCAACTGCTATGAATAAACTGGAGGTTGACGCTTACTTTGAGCTTCTTGAAAGCATATTGACAGTAGACGATGGTGTGTTGACACCGAGTTGTATCTTCAACATGGACGAGACTGGTCTTCAGCTTAATAATCGACCAGGGCATGTTCTAGCTGAAAAGGGTTCTAAGGCTGTATCTACAGTTACTTCGACTGAAAAGGGAGAAACGATTACAGTTATAGCCTGCTGCAATGCTGAAGGTACATTTTTACCATCTGCCTGTATCATGAAAGGCAAAAACAAAAAACCTGAGTTTGAGGATGGGACGCCACCGGGATCGAAACTTTTCATGTCCCCAAAATCAGCGTACATTACCTCAAATTTATTTATTGATTGGTTGAAAACACATTTTGTTCCGAGGAAACCAGCTGGAAGAATACTTCTTTTACTAGATGGTCATTCAACTCACTGTAATTCTGTGGAAATGCTGGAATATGCAAAGGACAATGACATCACCTTACTTTCAATGCCAAGCCACACGTCACACTACCTCCAACCACTAGATCGTACGGTGTTTTAATCACTGAAGACTCATTTTTACGAGCAGTGTCGACTTTGGCTTAAACAAAATCCTGGTCGTCGTATAACACGATTATCATTTGGAAGATTGCTTAATAAGGCGTGGGAAAAGGCAGCTTCTGCAGAGAATGCAATTGCGGGTTTTAAAGCTACAGGTGTCCATCCCTTCAATCCATCTGCAATTCCCGACTACGCGTTTAGCCAAGAATTGACAAAGCAAATGTCTAAATCTCAAAATGAGTGTACAGCCACTGTTATGGTCGAGGAGCAAGAAGAAAATACTAATAACGTAGCTTCTGCTAATGTGGAACCAGTTCCAAATACTTTCGAAGTGCGACAAGACATATCACCTGCAATCGCTGAGCCAAATAGCTCTGTTGAGCGAATAGTTTTAAACGCAAGTCCTGAGATGATTACAAGAAGGCCTAAAAAATTATTTGCTACTGCTTCAGCAGCAGTAATTAAAAAAATGTCAGAACAATTCCCTCCAAGAAGCGATTTGCCAGATCTGACTCCAACACGTATTTTAAAGCAATTATCGCCAGTTCCACAAAAAATTATTGAAGTACGCAAACGTGCTAAACAGGTAGGCATGCTTTTAACCTCAGAGAATCACATCAAAACAAGAAAATTTAAGGAAGCGCTTAAAAAAATAGGGAACAAAAAATTCGAAAAAGACGTTAAAAAGGAAAGAAAAATTGAGATAAAACCAATAAAACGAGCACCAAGAAAGAGAAAATCATTAAGAAAGTTATCTGAAAGTAGTGATGAGGATGAAGAACTAATATTATGTAATTCGTCTGATGAAGAAGATGGAAACAGAGAATTGGATAACTGTGTAGGTTGTTGAGAAAATTATTACGAAACGCAACTCATTGAAGATTGGATTCAATGCGTTATATGCCAACTGTGGGTACATGAAAATTGCACCGAATTCGATGATAAGTGTTCATCATGTGGACAGAAAAAGAAGAATGAGCTAAGGCTCAAAAACTTAAAGGGAAAAAGTGATTAAAATGTAGATTAACAAACTGGCCATCTCTCCCTTGCTTCTATGGCCATCTCTACCGGGCACTACGGGAGAGATGGCCAATCGTGATATGAAAAAAAAGGTAAATTATGAGACTTATTATGTTAAAATGACAAAAAAATGTTGTGATTTTCTTAGAGTTTAATGTCGAAAGTTTAATAAAAAGTTGATTTTTGTTAATATAATTAATCCTTGTAGTTTTTATTTTAGTGACTTCTTTAAAAACTATGGCCAACTCCCCCGGACTTACCCTATACATATATTATAGTCAACAAAATCTAAGAAATACCTTTTGACGTTTCACATTAATCGTTCCGCAATAACTTTGCACAAGCTCAAACGATTTAAAATAACCTTTTACTTAAATCCGAAGAATTATGAAGTTATCTATATTTTATTACAACGTGTATAGTTTTTTATCACTAATTTAAATTCGAATCTTTCAAACAAAGCAAAATATTAAAAAAATAACCCGTATCAACTTTTGTACTTGACGTCGTTTCAATGATACATAATATGTCGCTATGTAACCTACCGTAATGTTTGGATGATTAAAATTCATTGTTATGCGAATAATCGGCAAAAATATTCAAATAATCGGTAAAAATATTTAAATAAAAGAGTCAATATTTTTTTAATATATTATTTGTTTAGTTAAATTTTTATTTTTAAAATCCTTTAAATTACATGAATCATGAATAACACAAGTTTTTTTTTTTACTTTGTCAACGTAAATTTGCGTAGGCAAAAAACTCATATACAAGGCCGTGCTAAAAAAAAACCACTACGTAATTTCAATCACCTGCCATTTCGGGAGCTTACTGTGCGTAATTTTGTGATTTTGCGTTTGTCTTCTTATTATGTAACTCGGGTTTACTTTTTAAACTGTTTCTTCTATATTCGTTGAAGCATGTGCCCATGTCACAAAGGATGATTGGGCAAGAGTAGTAGAAAAAACAAAAAATTGATTATGGATGACTTTGAACGAAACATTAATTTTGACTGCATTATCGAAAATCAAATAATAATTAATCTAACAACGACAGCTCAGCTACTTGTACTGAAAATGATTGAATAAATTTATTTTTAATCTAGTTTCAATATAAAATTTTTATAACTGTGCCTCTAGAAATAAGCAGTGACTACAAATACGAAGAAACTGATAATTCTTGTGATTTAATTACCCGTTTTTAATTTATTCTGGTATTATTCAAACCAAACTGTAAATGATTACCAACTCTAATTAATCGATATCGATTTATTTAAGAATCGAATATTGTACGTTCCCATTTTTGGTTGGCATGCTTGGTGCAATAAGTCTGACAGCTATCAAAATGTATTTCTTAGATTGGGTTGGCTGTATTTTTCCACAAATATTTAAATTTATTATCGGCTTCCTTCCATAATTTGTTATTATTCACCCTAAAATTCACAAAACATGAACTTTAAAATGAATTTACAATTTTATTCAATTTAAACGTAGGCTATGAGAGAAAGAGAGAAAGAAAACATGCGCGCGCACTGCGTTCTCTTACTTATATCCTCTACAAAACTACCGTTCACATCGCCGATCACACTTTTCGCTCGGATCGCTATGGAAAAAATATTGTACCTGCTTATTGGCAGAGGAAGAAGAAAATAATATTCGAAGAAAAATAAGATTCTGGATTCACAATATTAATTTAAAAAGGCAGTTGTATGGAGAATATTATGCGTTATACAGGTTTATTTTGTAATATCTAGCCAAATTTGCAGATAAGGTTCAGATTAAGTAATATAGGCAAATGGTGAAGAAAAATTTCAAACATTATGCCCTTTTTATCTTTTAAATTCAAAATGCGTGGTAATGCATTATTTAACTGCTTTTACTGCGCACGCATACATTCGTAAGGGTCGATTGGTATTGGTAGGCAAAAACGTTGTTGTACATAAATCACATTTAATTTAGGATAATTTGAAATAAAAAATAGTGAATACTCGTATTTTCAAAACCTGCAATAATGGTATATCATTATTTATATAATTGAACTTGAGCTTTAAATTTGGGTCTATTCACTCGCTTTGCTCGCTCACTTGATCCCGCTATCTCCTTCTAACCTAACCTGTCCGAGTTTGGGTGTCCTGGTCAAATATTACCGTGCCCTGGTGATCGCTTCGCTCGCTCTTACACTCAATAAAACACGAAAATATTAACTTTTATAATTACTTTAAATTATGAACATAATTTATAGCTACAACCATCTGAAAAAAGAGGATCCAGAGGGGTAGCGAAGTCGTCGAAAAACAGGTGGAGGTAGATAAAAACGTTAGCAAAACATTCACGTAAACTCAGAAACAACGGAATGACGTAAAGTATATCTGTCACTGTCGTCACTGTGTCTGTCACGATTCGTTTCACGCATTTTGAGATGACTTTGACGGATGCAACGTCAAAGACGTTAGAATTTAGTTAAATGTACATTCCATTTCACGTTTAGTTAGTGATCTACCAATATTAAAAAAAATTACCAATACTTCGATGCTGCTCCGGCAGCAAAAATCGCATGAGGGTGCTTTACATAGACACTTCAGACCCTTTGACATAGTGACAGAATTCAGGCGACTTAATTTCAAACCCAACGCAAAAAAGATTCCGACGAATTGAGAACCTCCTCCCTTTTTGAAGTCGGTTGATATGGCGCGTACGGTGCGGGTGAAATGTACGCGGTTTCATATGATTTCATACAACGAATTCTAAAATTGATAAAATAAATAGTCTTCGATGATTATTTGAAATCTAAATGTGCATTAGTAGAAAGAGTAGAACCAGGCAGGATCCAGGCGTCGGGTGTCTTGTTTATTATATATTAATTATAATTATCATTTTAATTTATTAGACACAAAAAATAAATACACACATTACAATTAATAAGACACAAGATGACAAAACATGTACTATAATTATTATTGTCAATCTCCTTTGTTCCTGAGTCACTCAGAACTCAGATTATTAATAACTTTTTTTTTAATTTACTGTGAAATTGGCAACAAAAACAAACCCTTCAGCCAAAAAGTATACAACTAGCGTAATACATCATAGGTATGAATATTTTTCATAATATAAATATGTTAACTTTTCAAAATATTTTTGATCACAAACTCACAATAAGATGATAATTGGTACGTCACATTGCGATGTTTCTGGGAGATTTTGACAGCAGCTCAAACGAGCAGACAGTTAATAATGTTAGCATCCCAAGTTTTCAAAGCGCCTAAGTGTACTAAATCGGAGCTGTAGTTTTCCAAACGTTTTTCAATAGTACAGACATTTAAGATATAAAATTGGATCAGTTTTAAACATTAAAAAACACTGCAAACCACTATCGGTGGCGATTACATTACTTCCAAAACTCTAATTAAAAAAAATTAGCTAAACGCAGAAATGACTCCATCTGTGAACTTACCTTCTCTGACTCTTTTGACAATAGTAATTTAAAAAAAATAAACTGCCTAATAAATTTTTTAAATTTGATATAATTTATTCAATAATTTGTTTATAGGTCAAATTTAGATAAATTAAATAACTCATTTTCTTTTATAGTATAAAAAATATGCCTCCCGCCTCCCTCAAAAAATATGGTTGTTTCCAATTTTTTTCAATCTTTATTATTTTATTTCCGCTGTGGATATTGTAACAAGATTCAAGCATAATAAATATTTATCTAATTCTATTAAAACTCGATAAAATTTATGAAGTACCTATTAAGTATTACTAAATCATAGATTAAATATAAAAAGTATAAAGTAATAATATTTTATTACTTTATACTTTTTTATTATCGACGTTTATTATTAACACATACACATTCTTCATTTATAACTTACGTAGGTAATTAATTTATTTTAACATTTTAGATTCATGTTTTAATTTAAATTTTATTTCAAAAATATAATAAACTTGGAATATATTAAACCTCCTTTTAATAACGTATATCCAGTTTGTCTAATCATGGCCATCGAGAATATGATATGTAATTCTAAATTCGAGCCAGTGTCAATCCGACCCCATAGAAAAAAAGACAGCCGAACCAAACGCGTCGTCATCACCGTCTTCCGTACTAAACTGTTCACCCAATTTTCCCCGAACCGGATCTCAAGATGAACAAGCTGTACATTGGCAACCTGCCCATAGAGGCCGACGAGGCAGCCGTACGCCAGCTTTTCGCGGAGCACAACCTGACCGTTGCCGATATTTCCGTGAAGCGTGGGGGCTATGCCTTCGTCGACTTTCCTGACCAGTCCGCAGCCGATCGCGCCATCGATAAGTTACATGGTATGATTGTAATTATGTCTATATATCTTGTATAACCACAAATTCGTGAAATTTTTTTCTTTTTATAAACTACATGACACAAATAACTTCTGTACAGACTCCGACAATAATGTGATAGAAACGAGGGCATATAATACCCAAAAGATTATAATTTAAATGACGGATAAAACATGTTATTAGAAAAATTGTTCCAATAATTACATGTAATCCATGAAATCCTGTTGTTTTTATGTTTAGTAAGATATAATAACACATCCATTGATCAATAGACACAGTATTTTCCTAAATACGCAAAAATTTCGGTTTCATCCACCATGCATCATGCATCGTCAAAGTTTGACGATGCATGGTTTTTATTATATTTATATGTACCACGGTTTATATTTAGGACATTATACAGAGTCATGCACGATTTTCTATATAGATCATTTAATAATTTTTATACATTATACTGGACCAGGTGGTAGAAATAATTCCCTGCCTAAAAATGCATCGGGGTAGATGCCAC